CATATATTACACAAAACACGCTGTATGTATATAGATATTCAAGCAACAAAAACGCTTGTAATTTTTTATTAGATTTGCGGGAAACGGGGCGTAGGCAAATATTTCGAACACCCATGTTAATTGTTCGTGCTGTTCATTCTTTCAGGCACACGCTCATGCAAATAACCAATTGATATGTGTTCATATAGAATCACGTATAGTTCCATGCAGGAAGCATTTATCTTATCAAAATTAATTGCCGCATTTAGGCCCGTCACATCAGCATACATCATCAGCTGATTTAAAACTGAGCTATACATAGGAATTTAAATGAGGCAATAGACCTTTTCAGCTTGAACTTAACCATTTCAGACCATGACTTGAACCATACAAGCTATTGGCGATTTATTTCCTCACAGATGATTGCAATTCACGTTCACCCTGTTGCTATATCGAAAAATGAGTACATCATACATGCAAACAAACTCATTGAGAAAAAAAAATGTTGGTTTTTTTTTGCTTCGTATCCTTGACTACGCAAAGGACAACAGTCAGTATATTAACCAGGAGTTTGTGCTGAAGTGCCACTCTAGACCAGCAACTGATATAGCAGAACCTACGTCGTCTTTCAGTTCCATGTTCAAGCTCTAATTTTCAAGTTTACGTGGAAGGGCGAAATTTAATCACCAATCGTTGCCCTTAAGTTTGTGTTGTTGGCGTTTCACATTTCAGTGGTGTATATCGACGTTCGACGTAAAGTTCTAGACAATGGTGCTTGTGAACGTCTCAGAACCAGTAGCTAATATTTTGGATTTATTTGATTAAACCGATAACAGAAAACATCGCAAACCGACTGTAAGTAGATAGTTGAGTAATGTCAGTCATTTGGCACGTCATGCATCCTAATCCTGCTAAATTCGCACCGTGTAAAACTATCCTCTATCGGCGGTGCTTTCATTGGTGCATTAATTTAAGCCCCGTTTACACCACAGTCAATTTATTGGCACGGCACGGCTAAAATTGGTATCGTGCCTAATTTTATTAGTGTTCAGGCTACCAATACAGGCGAGCATGGATAAAATGGGCACGGGTACCCATTCTAGCTGTGCCTTGCCAATAAATTGACGTCTATTGTAAACGGGGCTTTAGAACAAAACGTTTCAATAATTTGCATATTCCTTCGTTAGAGAATTCACCGTATGACAAAGTCAGTATAGCATTCACGCTTTAAGTTGTCTATGCTACCCAAGGCGTACTACACTCTATTTGTTTCATTCATATATTCATTAGATTTACGTGATTCTTACACTGTATAATGGATGCCATCAATATTTGATATTTTTCATTATATATTTAGCTATAGATCAGTATATTCATTTCAATTATGATTTGATATTATGATACATGCACAATTAATTTAACAATAATTTATATCCGTACATCTATTTGGCCATTTTGGGGCCTGGAATTAGTGTATCTTTAATATAGCTACGAATATAGAAACTATTTTCATTTGCATCTTGTCATTACCAACGGCCATGCACCGACCGACTCCGACCATACAGGACGCTGTAAAACACCATCTTTTATAGGCTATTTAGCTGGCGTTAAAAGTAAACACCATGCATGTGTGAAATTGCCCAGGTCCGGCAGAGCCACCATATTTACGAGCTTGATATAGGCCGAGTGCATGACAAAACAGGATCAATATTTATCGAGACAATAATAAATAATATATAGATAATAAATAGAAGAAAATAAATATATAGATATCTTTATCTCTTATCCCAGCAACTCTATTACCCGATAATTTCTATACTTCCACACGTATAGTGACAATAACAAGTAATCTCTAAATGAAGAAAAGAATGATATATTGTGTGTTTTTCAAAAATTCCAATAACGCAAATATAATACGTGCATGCATGTAAAACGACGCTAAGCTCATAAGCTTCTGCATATATAGGACGCGTAAAATTTGTTTTTCGTTTTAATATAACACATGAACTGAGAGTCGCTTTCCCAGCGCAACTTGATGTAAAAAAAAGCGTGTGAAACGACGCTCACTTATATAAGCTTCTGCATACGTCGCGTAGAATTTGTTTTTCATTTTAAATAAATAACAATTAACACATGAACTGAGAGTCACGTTCCGAGCGCAGCTTGAGCCTTGATGTCATTGTATAGGTGAGTGGGAGCACTTCTCTGTTAAGGAGAAATCACTCCAGTCGATTCGTTGGGCGTAGCTATCATAATTTAAACACATGAGTCATCAAAACGTCAAGGGTTTCGGTGAACAGTGATTCCGCGTCACTTTGGTTGAGGACCGTCGCACTTTTCAGTATCTAAACGTGGAACTCTACTGCATGTAGACTGTTTGCATTGGGATTCATAGGATTTTAGGTATTTGTATAGTTTATTTACTTAATATAATAGTGGTGACTAAAACAGTAACCTCGCAACGGGCTATACATATGTATGGTGTCCTGAATGTGAGGAAAATTGTGGAGGGTAGCGATTAGTTTTAATTCCGATTCCTGAAGATATTCAGAATTTCCAACAGTGTCAAAGGTGATTTTGTTGCATGTATTTCTAGTAAACTGAATAGAAATCTGCCATGCATATCTAGCATATGTAAATTCGTCAGGTTTTTAACTGAGTTATGGGTTTTACGAGCAATCCAATAATCGATTTGAGAAAAGTGCGCTCTTATATATTTCTGTCAATAGGCCGTTAAAATGCATAACTTTGATACACGTTTTGTCGACATCTGACACACAATAATGCGATTATATTAATTGAAGTTCGGATTATACAAGATTAGTTATATAATTGCTGGGCTTGTTAGCGGTTCTTCGCATATAGTTTTAGCCCGTGAAATTCATTGTGATTTTATAAATACGGCGCGGAATGCTTCAAATTTGATTATAGCGACTTGTTTGTGAACTATATTTTACAACAATATATGATTACGATCATTGAATCCATGCATGCATGCCCTATTATATGTCTTGGGTTTTAGATTTTTTTTAAATAAAATGGAAATTTTAAGTCGATCGCGAATCATTATTAAATTATCACAAGTCACAACATGTGTCCTGAAAGCCTTTTATGAAATCATGTACACAAGGTTTTGTCGAAGCTCAGTCCGTGCGCAGATGATAAATATAAACCAGACACAGTACTAAAATGCGGTGCCCGCAATGCTCGCCTAGAAATAAATTAATAAAACGTCCGCTCATTTCTAACGACATCACCAACTTACATTCTCCTGTCGGCCGCAGACTGCCTTGTTGGTTGGTACATTAAGGTCAAAATTGCGCCGTTTTAAAATCTTCAGAGATAAAATATTTAGGCTAAAAATACTATCTAAAAATACTATCAAAATGAAGAGAAACGTGAGACGAATAAACTGGTGTAAAGCCGGAAACTAGAAAAGCAACGATACAGAAGTCAAGGATTAAGCGTACTGCATTTTTAATTTGTTTAATAATTTTGAGCGATTTGTCATAAAGTTCGCTAATTGAAACTATACTTTAAAACCTTCGAAATAGAATATATTTGGCTCAAAGTACTATAAAATAAATCGTAATGTAAGACCGATCCACTTATTTAAGGACGAAAATTAAAAGAGAAAACCAACGATATGAAAGATATCAAAGACCAAACTTACTATTACTAGTAAAGTATAGCATAGTAATTTTGAGCGATTTTTCAACAATTCAATTTCGTTTGTCTTTCAAACGTCATAAATCGCTGCGAATACTCTTGTTTAGTAATATATTTAAAAACTGTAAGTATAATTTCTTACGCTGAATCGAATGGTGGTATTTTTGTCCTTCTTGGGTGCATAAAGCAGAGATACACGCAATTATCAGAGTTTGAGATTGAAATTGAAAAAAGAACGTTCCTTTAAAAAAGGAATTTGGCAAACGTACAACAAGATTAATAGTAATAATTACGAAAAAATTCCAAGCATTCCAAGCATGTGCAAGGAATTTTTACTAGGCGATTAAGGAAACGTATTGATGCGAACAAACAAACTCACAGGCAGAATATAATGCGGTGCCAAACTTGGCGCGGTAACCGCAATTTATCTTTATTTACAAAATATTAATTGGGCCATGCAATTAGGCCTGTATATACAAATTGTCCTGCGAAAATACTATAGAACGAAGCTCAGGAAGTATTGCTTGAGGACAAATTTAAAGTCGCTCCAAAGGGAGAACGCTATAGTAAAATATTTAAGAGTTATACCACGAGCTCGAGTCGTATATGAGCTAGACTAGAACGACCAGCTATTTTGCTTCTTCTTTGGTTTTGCTACTCACCGTAAATGAGCTGATATACGGTGGGTTAAAAGGAGTTTCGGTATATATATATATATATATATATATATATATATATATATATATATATATATAATTATATATATATATATATATATATATATATATTTCATGCATGTATATACAGTCATTCCCAAAAAGGTTGTCCAGACAAATACATATAAATACATATATATCGATCATGTGATCAATCAACTCGCGCATGATTTTTCATTATAATTGCGAGTTTGCCTATATAGTGCGATCATTGCTCACTTCTCCAAAACGCCGTCAGGTGATCGATATTATATTCACGCGTAAAAACGCTCAGGTTGATGCAAGTTGATATAAACAGGATGGAGCAATGTTGTGCTGCCCACATTGTTCAGAGTTGTTATCAATATTGAACAATATTGTTACACCCGATTCAGTTTCAACAATATTGTTCAATGTTGATAACAACTCTGAACAATGTGGGCAGCACAACATTGCTCCATCCTGTTTATATCAACTTGCATCAACCTGAGCGTTTTTAGGCGTGTATATAGACAACCTTTTTGGGAGTGACTGCATGTATATATGTCGAGTATATATATATAATAACATACAAGTAGTTCGAATACAATTTCGTTCATTTACAGTTTCCAACTTCGTGTCTTTTCAATATATTTGATTTCTATTTTCTCTTTTTAGAATCGAGTCCTTTTTCTACATCTATTGTGTTCATATAAAACATAAAGTCAAGTGTGTATAATGTCAAAGTTAAGCCATGAAAATGGGGGCGAAGGGATGTCAAACAAAAGAGAATCGATAATTGAGTTACCTAGCCAACCATCGATACATACTCGGGATGAAACGCAAACGAAGACTGAAAGTTTGCCTAGGTCAAGCCGATCTGCCTGGTTTGGAGAAAGCTTTGGCCCGCTTGGAAAGTATGGAAAGCTAAGAAGGGCGCAATTTGTAATGGCAGCAAAGAATTTAGAGGTATATATATATAACGCGACTGCATCCACGCATGCGTTAGTTGCTTTTTTTTCAGAAATTACTGCATGCATGCATGTAAACAACTTTGGATTCGCTATATATGTTCTAATCAGTATAGTTAAATATATCAATATATATTTTTGCTACTCGATACATTCTATAATGTTTAGGGGTTCGCGGAAAATTTTTTTGATGTTTTTGATGCTGCACAACATGGTTACGTTAACATACAGGAACTTGTTGGCGGTCTACGCCTCCTTTGGCAGTAAGTTTGATATTTATTGTGGATATCATTATAATATTTAATATGAAATACACGCCATCCGGCTTTCTGTGAGAACCCTTTAATTAACCCTAGACAATATCACTGAACTTAAGTGGCGAAGAATTGGTGAAGATTTTTATTCTATTTTAAAAAACATGCACAACATATATCCTACTTAAGAAATAGAAAACATTTTCCGTGTTTCTATGCAGTTATAGAAACACGCGTGGGAGTTTGGGAGAACGAGAAATGATCAGTGGGAAAACGAGCCCGTAGGGCGAGTTTTTCCACGTTATTTTGAGTTCTCCCAAACTCCCACGCGTGTTTCTATAACTGTATAGAAACACAGGGAAAACGTTTTCTATTTCTTTTATAATGTAACTCGATAAAAAGATTTTGTACAAATATTATAATTCGATTCAATTACAAATTCTCATTACATCGCTTCGCTTGACAAGTTCGGCGGGAAAATTCCCGTGTTTCTATACAGTTATAGAAACACGCTGCTCGACCAATCAGCACGCGCGTACTATAAATGTTATATTATAATAGCTATTTAACAATTAGACAACGAGTCCGAGTTGTCTATGAGCGAATAGTCAACGAGGCGAAGCCGAGTTGACTATTGCTCATAGACAACGAGGCCGAGTTGTCTAATTGTTTTAGTATAAACTATAACATTAATTTACAACTAGGAAACACAATATAAAATTCTTGTTGGCTTGCAAACCATTCTGAAATTTATTTCGTATATTAAAGGAAGAAAATATTTTAATTGTTGTTCGCGTAAAATGTTTTAAAATTCAGTTTAAATATAAAAATTCAATTGAGTATACGTTATTTTTATGTATTTTCTTACCCTTAAAAATTGCAATTCCGTATTTTGTTGCTTTTTTTGTTTTTTCTGGTACGGAATTGTCCAACAAGTCGTCCAAAAAATCTTCAGATACTTCGGCGAAACGCGAATTTTCCGCCATTGTTTTGAATTTTGCTACTAGTAGGCTATCACTAATAGCCTACCAGTAGCGTAGCCAATCAGAACGCAGGAAAAGTGATAGCCTATTAGTCAGTTTATACTAATAATGTATAGCTGCAATTAAGAATAGCTAGATAGTATAGCTACTATTTTACAGTTATAGGAGGCACCATATAAATTTTTAAAACTAATCGATTTTTAAATGGATTATAAAATCGATTAAACTAATCTTTTTGTGTCAGGCGTCATGGAAAGAAGAAGGATAGCAAACTTATACGATGGTTTACTAATTATTTCGAAGATATCGTTGGTAAAGATGCAGAAATTCGTCTCTCCGAATTTAAAGCAGCAATGGAAGACGAAACGGTATTTTTTAGTTCGTTTTCTACGTACTGCATGCTTGTAATGCATGTACTGCATGCTTGCATGCATGCATGCATGCAAGCAGTTCCACGTTTTTTTAGGCTGTATCAATGATACGCTAAAATTCTAAATCCAAAGAGCAGTCTGTATACCTCTCTGCATGTTCTTCGTTTTTGATAAAAACCTTCAATGTACCAAATTTCAAAACTATATATACCGCTTCCCCATGCATCCATGCATAAATTTATATGTGTTACAGAGCACTTGGTTTTAAATGAATCTTTTAATGATGACCAACAATGTCTTTCTAATTTTTCTTCCTGCAGTTCAGTCGAAACCTTTTCGACCTGTTGGATAGCGACGAAGATGGTGAAATTGATATAAGTGATTTTATGAGCAGTTTGGACAGACTTGAATGGTAAGAATTTTATTGAATTTTCCAGTCAGTCGGTTTGAATGACACCGAATATGTTGCTTTCTCTCGAAACGACCTCGCATCCTTTTGTTCATTTTTATGCATGCATTTCCAACGCATGCAAAATATGCATTATGTACGGGGATATAGCTATCGAGTAAATTATTAGATGTACGTGAAAAAAGCAAGAGCCTCTGCGTGGTGAGGCTATAGACCCAATGAAATGAATTTTCCATTAATGACTGCAATTCTAAATAATTCAATATACAACCGTGTAAATATCTAGGGTTGTTGACTTCTTGTTAAACAATCTGAACTGAGCGTGAAATAGTATGGTTATATTTGCATGCATTCGACAGATTTTTTAATACGATTTGCTTTGACTGCCATGCGACTTCGTTGGAAGCAAGTTTGCACACTTTAAATCGGTAGAATTTTATTTTTTTATCCTTGTATTAAGCGCGTCAACGGACACAAAATGGTACCTGTGGATAGAAGAAAGATTCAACATTTCAACAACGGAGGATCGTACAATAACCTTTCAACAATTCAAGGAAGCACTTCATCTTGAAAAGGTGTGCAATTGTATAGTTTCGAAACATGGGTAGACAAACAGTCCGATTTTCTATGGAGTAAGTTTGACTGCATGAACTGCATGAACTGTTTTTTAGTCCTATATAATATAATAAACTGTATGATTGTCGTTTACCTATGTTAATTTTCAGCCGATTCTATTTGATGAGAATCAACGTAATTTATTTAAAACGACAACTATAGTTGTTTTTCTTCGTGAGACATTCGCGAAAAAATTCCCGAGTAAACCATCATGCATCATTCAGGTTTTCTTAATTTTCGACCTAAAATTTGAATGTATTTCCTGGTAGACCTTTTTCGCTGAGAGATTTTTTACACTATTTGACGATAACGGTGATGGGAGGATTGACATGAAAGAACTTATCGCTGGCCTGGAGGTGTTGACCAAAGGAACAGAAACAGATAAACTGACATTTTTGTTCAGAGTTTATGATTTGGATGGTACGTTGACCCCTGCACGTATACATGCACGTTAATATTTATATAGTATGGTAGCATATATAAGCATTTTCTCTCGGAAATGTGCAGTTTTTGCAAAATTCGCGAAAGGTTTTAAAATGCGTGGCAAAATGGCTGAAAATCTGGTCATGCATAGCCGTCGCTAGAAGCTAAATTGCCTCTGATCAGAAAATGTGTGATCATACCGGCATTAGTGTTTGCATTCCTGGTTTTAGAAGCGAGAGCACAATTGCCATTAAAAAAAATCAGTCGGACATAAGACGAACAAACATTGTACGGGCCGACAATGAGAACTGTTGATGATAGGCATTTAAAGTATTTAAGTTGACTTTAGTCAAAATGTCGTTTGCATGCTAACTGGTCAAAACAAAATACGGAAGAACTTCCTCCAAAACAGAATTTAGCCGAAATACCACCCCTTTCCCTTTTAATAATCTTTTATTATTTCTTAATATGTTTTTTACATGTAGGAAATGGTTATTTGAGCGCTGATGAGATGAGAACAGTCTTGACTTCTTGTTTGGAAGAAAGTAAACTGAAGTTAGACGATCAGCAAGTAAATGAACTGATGGAAGTATTCTTCGAGGAGATAGAAACAAACGCTGAAGGGGAAATTAACTTGGACCAATTTAAATCATTTTTGTCTAAATATCCTGGAGTGTCGGAGAATTTGTCCATAAGGTAAAATTAAGACGTCAGACGTGTTTATCAAGTCAAAACCGAAATTGAAAACCGAAATTTATGGAACCCCGTTATTGGAGACATATCTCTGTGTGGTGATTCCAGCCATTGCATGTGTGTAGTTCATTTGTAGTTTATGTGTAGTTCATTCTAACTTTTTAAAATGGCAAATTTATAAAATAAAAAATAAAATAAAAACGTTGATAAAGAGTATTGTATTTTAACGTTTCTCCTATGCTCCATACGCCGAATCGGCCAAATATCTTCGAATTCATGTTTTTTCACAAGGATTTTTAAACGTGATTTAATCGAATTCGGAGTTATCCTTATTACTTTACACTGCACACTGCAGTGCAATACTGCACATTAGTTAAAAAATTATACAGCAAACAAGTGTACGTAACTAGCTGCAATTACCGTGTATCGAGTTTGAGCTCGCATCTAAGATTTATTATGCTCTATATCATGTAAGGAATTCTCGACTTTATGTAGATCCACAGCTGAAATTTTTCGGTATACTTTATTTAGATTTAACCTGTCACATTTTTACACTTCATTTTCTATGTATGAAGTGATCTCCCTAATATAATAAAAATATATATGATGCATGTTCATGGTATTTTAATTTTTTTCAGTGCTGGAAACTGGTTTAAGCCTCCTGTTTCTGTTAAAAAACCCATGTCGAGTTATATTCCGAGACGTCTCCGATGGGGATATATTAAGAAGAATCCGAGCAAAGTGTTTTTCGTCGGGCTTTATTTCTTGCTAAACGCCGCCCTGTGTGTTTGGGTTGGCGTTGTGAGGCGGAACGAAAGCGGTTGGATTATCCTGGCTAGAATAAATGGAATGTGTCTCAATTTCAATTGCATGTTTATTTTGGTGCTGATGATGAAAGGCCTTCTTACATGGCTGAGATCTACAAGCTTTGGAAAGTACTTTCCTATTGACCAGCACATCATTTTCCACAAATCTGTCGCAGGTGTCATACTTTTTCAAGCTCTCCTGCATTTCGTTGGACATATCGGTCGATATAGTAAGTAGCTAAAATTGAACATAGAACAAGGGAGAATTTCGTTTTAGACCAATCAACATGTTTGCTTAAATTATCATTTTACATGAAGTATTGAGAATTTAGGCATTCGGATTGGCTTAGCCTCAAAAAGGGAGACAAATATGCCGATTAGTTTAAAACGAAACCGCCCCTTGTTTGAATATATAATTTCATATATACAGCTACAAGATAGCATAAGCAGTTGGCAATCTCGGCTTGAAATGTAAGAAACGAAACCAATTGCTACAAACCCCGAAGATTTACGAGTTCGAAATTTTACGAGAAAACTTCTTAATAAGAGTACGTCCGAATATGCTAAGAGGTCACACACACACAGTCATAAAAGATTATAACTCTTACTTAGATTATGCATGATAAACCCTTAGAATAAAGTAGAATTCTTGCTTAGAACTACCTCCAATGATGAATTTATTCGTTTTGACTTTATCTGATTAGTTGTCGTCAATATTGATCAATTGAAATCGAACTTTACTGTCGCTGAATACTTGTTCACGACGAGGACACCAGAAGGCTGGGTGAACGGGTCGGCAGGGCTCACCGGGGTGCTGTTGTTGCTTGTTCTAATAATTATGTTCATCTTATCACAACCCTTCGTCAGAAGACAAGGATTTTTCGAGGTAAAAAACTTCTAATGTGAATTTCATGCATCCGCGATCGCTTGTCCAATCAGCGCTCATAATCTCCCTCGTAGTTAATCTGTATAAAAGCAATTTAAAAGGCATAATTTAAAATTGGTTATCTCAGATACATCTTTTTCTGAAGATTTTTATTTGGTAAAAACGGTTATTTTTTACTGAAAAAAACAGGGACCGCGGAGCGTTTTTCGTATTCCTGGGGCTCAAAACCGCGCGCCTGCTAGGAGAGTACGGAAAAATTTTGAAATATACACAGACCTCTGAAATGGCCGCAAATGCCTCTCAATTTAAGGATTATTGGGAAATAGTAGATACTTTGGGAAATTTCCAGCATGTTTGGCGCTCATATACTAACAGTAAACAATATAACCATGCTTTGGTTATGATGTCAAATATTTTGATATGGATAACCACGCTGTTTTAATGGTCAAATCGGCTTGTTCTATGTAAAGTTTCTAGCATGTTTGGTGCTCATATGCAAACATTTATGTAAAGTTGCAACTTGCAAGCATCGAATATGGCCGGAAAACGGTATATACAAAAATTAAACAATACAAGCAACCAAAGATCGAAGACAAGGATTAAATTATGAGAGGAACCACGCTGTTTTATGGTCAAATGCTTGTCCTATATAAAGTTTTTTGTTTCCAGCATGTTTGGCGCTCATATACTAACAGTAAACAATATAACCATGCTTTAGTTATGATGCAAGCATGTTTGGTGTTCAAATACAAACATCTATATAAAGTTGCAACTTGCAAGCATCATCTAATATGGCCGGAAAACGGTATACTCTACCATGGTCGAAAGTGCCAGAAAACGGTATACACGGCCATGGTCGAATATGGCCTGAAAACGGTATACTCGACCATGGTCGAAAATACCGAAAAACGGTACATTCGACCATGGTCGAATATACCGGAAAATGGCATGAATGGCCATATTCGACCATGCTTTGGTTATGATGTCAAATATTTTGACACGAATAACCACGCTGTTTTAATGGTCAAATGCTTGCCCTTTTTGGCTCTGTTTTTTTTTTATTTTCGCCAAACATGTGTACTTAATATAACTAATTTCAGCCTATCTGTAAACATGGCGGATTTATTGCGACAGATATCGTTGGAAATTAGAATACTCATTTCTTTGAATTGGTTATTAAAATATACGTTGAAGAAGTAAAAGTTACGATAGTATTCAAGATAAGATACACTGCATATACTTGTAAGCAAAAAATACAAATTGCAAAAAGCATTGCTTGTAAATTTGAGCGAACTAAAAAATATTCGGAATTAAAGACTAATTACGGAAGAATTAATGGTGGGGCTAAAGTCCAGCGAGCCACCCTGCTCTGCGGTCACTGAAAACCCCCTGAAAAAACTAAAAAAATGGTTTTAAATGGTTATCAATAAAAAATTGGTACACTAAATTAATCTGAGGTAACCAATCATAAATAGTTTTTTTTTAATATGCTGCCTATATAACTTTACTATCTTCATTTTTTCCCCTAGCTTTTCTATTATACCCACCATTTGTACGTCGTTTGGTGGATAATGCTTATTATTCATGCCCCAAACTTTTGGAAATGGTTTATTGGACCGGCCGTTTTGTATTTTGCCGAAAGAATCTTGCGTTTGAGGATCGTTAACCGAGCACGTTATGGCAAAACCATTATAGAAGAAGGCATAACACTCCCATCCAAGGTATTTAAATTTGTTTTGATACCAAAGTACATGTTGCAAGCGATAAGTACAGGTAATTGAAATTACAAAATTAGAGATAGGCAATCGTTTCTTAAATCTATCCATTCCTTTCTGTACTGGGTTGATAAATTGATTAGTGGATTAGTTCTGCCACATTTTATGACTAGAAACAATAGATACAGCCAAGGACGCTGCGTTGAATTTTAACGATAACAATTGAAATAACCATTATACAATACGGTGGTTTGCACTGTGCAGCATTTTCGTCGAGGATATCTCTTACGTTCCAAGGATTTGAATATGCACCTATGTCTTTTAATATAGGTGACACATTTGGTGATAAAACGGCCGCCAAATTTCCATTACAAACCTGGTGACTACGTCATTGTGAACATCCCCGCAATCGCCAAGTACGAATGGCATCCATTTACAATCAGCAGCTCGCCGGACCTAACAGGTTACGTGTGGCTTCATATTCGTGGAGTGGGGACGTGGACGAAGAAGTTGTATGAATATTACGACGAGAAGGAAGAAGAGGAATGCAAGCAAAAGTCAGTTAAACGAGGAACAATAAGACGGAAAAAGGCTTCATTTGTCCAGGACAAGGAGAGGTATATAGTCAACATATTACATTCAAAATGGGAAAAAAACATATTTACATCATGTTTAGAATACTAATCAGTATGCAATAACACACAGAAATTGTTACCATGTTGGGGTTAAAGGCGATAATAACTTTGGCACGCAATGAATGACCAAAGAACACAGTTTAACAAAGTACATGTGTTGTGTTAGACTTCACATCTTTCAGAAGAGGAAAATCGGAGTAGAATAATTATGCAACTTTGAACTGTCTTTTAGATAGGTACATTCTTATTAAGAAAATATAGCTATATTACCAACAATATTTGCTGTCTATCAACAGGCAAACAAAAAGAAACATGCGTCGACGTTATGCAGAGAGTTTCAAAAAGCATAGACTTGGTGCTATCAGGGAAGAAGAAACAGAACAGCCTAATGAAGATATAAACACAGAGAATGAGGATGATGCAGTAGAGGCTCTTTCAGAAATTGTCATCGAAAACAAAGCAGTCGTTGCCAAAGAAAAATTCTCTTCGCCAAAACGGCAGAGTATGGGAATGAGAACGCCGGAGCGAAACGCAAAACATATATCCATGGACAGAAACGCCGCTAACAAGCTGGAGGTAGAATTTATTCTATGCATACATTAAAACTAGCTAAAATGATTACAGGTAAATAGGCCTACATGATGTATTGATATATTTGTCAACTGTTTCGCTCATTTTGTCTCTTCAGCTATATGGTGTTAAAAATTTTCTAAATTTTAGAATGCAGCGACAGTATGTGTAGGTGCACCGCAGAAAGGTTGTTGGAAAAAAGTCTTTCTGTAATTTTATTGATTTTTAGCAGATTGATTTCAACATTAACTATATAATATATTCTGTAGTCAATGGGAAATACTGCAATTTCATTAACTAAGAGGGGTGCCATTTGACCATTAATTACATCTCACACCTTTGCAAGTTGTATTAATTTGCATTGCACTCTAGCCAATATCAATCACTCTAGTATTTAAAACTAGCCCTCACCATAGAAGATTCAAAATATAAATTGCGGAAGTTAAATTATGAAAAATTTCAATTATTCAAATTTGTACTATTTATCTACTATTTATCAAGTATTGTCATGCCAAATTTAGTAACTATTTAAAAATTTTAATGACTATACTTAATATTGTTTAATTTATTTAATTTATTTATCAATTATATTGAAGTTCAGTAAACTACTCGTATAATATTGGCATCAATCGCACGACATAATTCCCTCTTTTGCTGATTTGATGTCTTCTGCAATCAAAAGGGGGGGGGAAGGCAATTTAATTTCGTTTGGCAAAAAACTCAGGTTTATGAAAATAGAACAGCAACTCAAACAATAGAATTTCTAATTCTAAAGGACAAATTCGAAACTAACTCAAGCATTCAAAAAGCTTTAATATAAATTATATATGCGACGCTTTGAAGGACACGCAATGCACGCATAAGGGTTCCGATTTGCATGACCATGCGTTTGACTGATCAGAATTGATTATACTACTTCCTAGATTTACATTGACGGACCTTATGGAGCCCCGGCGACACACTTCACCGAAGCAGAGCACGCTGTGCTAATATCAAGTGGGATTGGCGTAACGCCATTCGCATCTGTTCTTCAAACAATCATGCTGAGATACAAGAATGCATCCCACTCCTGTCCAAGCTGCAATTACTGCTGGGTTGGCGATGTTCCATATTCTTTGAGAAAGCTGCGAAAAGTAGGTATTATGACGTAAATAACGAGTGTGATGAGGGAGTTTGGGGATAATGTAGCTTATTTTTAAATCGTCTACATTGCCATGCATATGATGCAACATGTTTTAAATGTCGAGGAAGCTATCATAAATCCATAGAATTGTAAATTAAACAGATTAGCTAAGACACAAAGAATTAAAATAAACACAAACGTATACCTACCAATTGTAAAATTCTGTACGTGTGCATGTCTGAAGTCATCCGTGAATGAACAAATTTTACTTTAAATACCCTATTTTGCAAAGGAAATTTGAATTGAATTAAATAAAATGAAATGAAAGTTAGCAAAAAAAGGGAGCTTCGTTGCTTTTCATCATGTTTATAACCGTTGAAAAAAAACATTATCCAGGGGCTCTCCAGCTTTTGTACAACTGCATGGTCCCTGATGAAGTTATTAAACCAAATTCATGATCATGCTTTTTTAATTGGGAATTATTTTTGTTAACATTTGTTATATGAATATTAGTTTTATAAATATTTATTTACATTAGACCCGTTTTAGCGCCTTATTTCACATACATTTGGGACTATAAAGAATGAGCTGTTATACCTAATTGGGTATTCATCAACAATTTTTAATATTGGAGCGTATTATTAAATTTACTACAGTGGTCACTCTATATGTAGGAAGACTATAAATAAAAACTGACTGATATACGTATGTGGCTATTTTCTAGGTCGACTTCTTTTGGATAAATCGCGACCAGTATTCATTTGAATGGTTTTTGAGTCTCCTGAATCAACTTGAATTGGAGCAGTCAGAAACTGAAGGAGTGTTCACCGACCATTTCCTCGATATGCACATTTACATGACCTCGGCTTTGAGAAAAGAGGACATGAAGGCCATTGGGTTACAGTTGGCGCTTGATCTTATCCACAACAAGAAGGAGAAAGATTTGATTACTGGCCTGAAAACAAGAACAAACCCTGGTAGACCAGATTGGGACACGGTAAGTTAAGCAGATAAAAAGGCGTGGGATGGTCTCTTGGAAAAAAATAAATATCTTCATTTATACACCTATAACATTAATGGTCACCTTCCTTAAAATTTTCGCTTATACAAACACTGCATGCGATTGTGCGGATGTTTGTAACAAAGCTGATTATTAACAATTCTGGCAGGAATTGTGGCAGGATAAAATCGGGGCGAGTTGTTTTTTGTCAAAGTGACAGATAAAGCAACCAGTAATTTTAAGAAAATGCATTACTAAAAACAACGAAAGAACGAACAGGCTCAAATTTCTTTTGCATGAGCAATATTTGTCTAGCTTTTGGGCAAATTATTTTAGGTATGGAAAAGGTGGTAATATATCCTATAATATGATATTTGTATACGCACGCATCCATAAAACATTTAATACATTCACCTCTTTTTTAGGTATTCCGCAACCTCCAGAGCCAAGATCATGGCAAAGTTTCCGTATTTTACTGTGGAAATCCAGCTCTTGGGAATACGTTGAAAGCCTATTGTCAAAAATTTAACTTTGGATTTAGACAAGAAAACTTTTAAGAGCAACTTCACACAATTTTTAAAAGCACAGCAAGAAAATTTTACCTTACCGAGACTTTGCAATATGCCAAAACAAAACTTATCTTTTTATAGAAATTAGAAATTAGAGTGCCGGTTATACCCGGCAAGTTGGCATAGGTTTTTCCTTCCTGTTACGAATTTCTTGCACTGCGGAAGAAGATTTTTATCTATACTAGCATGTAGTCTATTACAATCAACAGCGGACTAAAACATACGGGATGAGGAACCTTCTCACTTCTCACAATTTAGAAGTATATAATAGACAGCTATATGCTTGCATCGCATAGCTCCAATCATCGGCGGTTAAATATATAGGAACAAAATGAGCTCATAAAACACAAACATTTGGTAATACGCAAACAGCAAACGTATTTCTTAACAAAGTCCTGAAAATCCGGAATGAGAATACGTTGCATGTACATTAATTTATATTTTTTCGCATTATCACCATAAACATAGCCTACAACTTAATTATTGATACAATTTTTATATCCTTTACAAGTCTTTACCGTATGGCTATAATGTAGCCTATGTATGAATAGGTTAATCTTTTTCACCCGCAGTTAATCTGTATTCAACTTGAGCTAGTGGGTAACCACTATAGCCCGTATTTATTAAAATCGGTGAGGTCAGTAAAGGCCGGCCTCCACTTGCACGTAAGTACGCGCTGAAATCGCACGTACGTAGAATACAGTTTTACTGTCATACGCGTACAAAAAAGTTAAGCACGACGGCCGGCTTAATGACAGTTTCGGGTCGCCGAGCATGTGCCAAATCGGTCGCAGTGTGGTCGCACTGATAGTATGTGCTGGTGGAGGCCGGCCTTGACAGTTATCAAAACGTACAAATATAGACTCATTGCGATATGTGATTAACAATGTTCTTATAACTATAATGTTCTTAAAAATAATGTTTTATACGATTAATTTTAGGGATAATAACTATAATTTGCAATTAGATTGTATACATTTTTATAATTAATTTTAATAATAATTTTGCAAAAGTGCTTGCAAATTTTAATTCTAGTTTGCAAATCTTTTCTCTACTCTGCATGGGTACGAGGTTGAGGATAGTCCAGCACATTCATTATTAACAGGTATCGTACCTTTCATTTTATCATTTGTGTTGTAACTATGGATGGTTCAGTACCACAGGTTTTAATTTTTGGCCATTCGTTTGTACGTCGTCTGCAGAATGACTTAGATAATGCATTTGATTTACGTGCCAAACAAAATTTTAATTTGGCGTCTTCCGCAGGCGTGTATTTACACGGCGTGGGCGGTCGCACTGTTGATAAGGTCTTTAAATATGACCTGCCATATCTAAAAAGTCAACGGCCGGACATTATTATTTTGGAATTAGGCACAAATGACTTGTCCGTTATGTCTCCTGAGGCGGCTGGCTCGCGTTTGGAAGAATTAACCGTATTTTTACGTGATACTCTGCATGTTAGTGTTGTCGTTGTTTGCCAAGTAATTGACCGTTATATCTCACATTCACAAACACCTGATAACGTTTTTAACAACAAGGCAGCACTTTTGCGGCAATATTTATCTGTGGTGCTTGATCAGATGCCTGGTGTTCTCCTATGGGAACATCGGCCATTCCGTAAAGCTGGACATAATTTACTATCTCCGGATGGGGTGCACTGTAACCCAAAAGGGCAGTTTTATTTATATAAAAGTTATCGGGGGGCCATCCTGAAGGCTCTCAAGTTTTTACATTAATTGCCCTTGCTCGGGATTCTACCACCTTTTCCCAGCACGGATCTATGTTTGCGTGTTTTTGTTTTATTGTTTATGTTATATTATTTGTTGGTTAATACTTCTCACCATTTGATGTTTGATGTTTGTTTTTATATATGATGATATTTATTTTATTATGGACATGGTATATGCTATTTCTTGTTAAATGTTACGATTGATTATTTATTCAAACAAGTGTTTCCACCTTTTGGGAGCACTTATTGGCGGCTAAAGGTAACATCCTGAGGCAATGGGGAATAGAACTTACCCTTATGGGTAAGATCTAAGCATGAATGTTTGGGTGCACATATGGTTATGGCTGTTATGACCCCTGTTGAGAACTCAGCAATTACATTCAGTGGGGAATTTACATACGTGATCGCACGTAATATGCCATGGTTGCCTCTCCACTAATGTATTAGTATGCATACATGGGATAGCAATGTTTACTGCAGATGCCCATTGCTGGGTTCAATACACAGATGGTTGCCATCATGTTGTTATGTGCTGTTATACCCAATTCTGTATTCGGCTACCTTGTGGTATGCCATGCTCATATGAAACCTGTCTTGTCCGCTCATAATTTGAGTTTTCTTGTTGGTGTATATGTGCTTGTTGTGTGATATAGTGTTACATAGTGACCTTCATTCCTAGATAACATAATTGGTTGCAAGGGCTTGTTCTAGTTTTTCTTTAGACTATGCCTGCCACACGTCCGAGTACTCGGATACAACGTCGTGCCAATCCTTCAATACCAGGGTCTCGACGAACATCTAATCGCAATGCAGCCAGACACTTAGCACCCAATACCAATGTATCTTTGGGCTCCCCTGATCAGGCTAATTCTTCTGTGGCCTCTGGCTCCCGGGATCCGGCAAATTCTCCCCTGGCTGTCGCACCTCTTTCAGGTATAGCAGACGAAACCGTAACCAGGATTGCGTCGGCGGTTGCCCAGGCAGTTGTTGCAGCTATACAGTCTCCACCAGTTCCATCGGTTGCTGATACCAGGGAGGTACCCATCCATACTAGCAATGAGGCTGATGCCCAAGTGCAGGGGCCGGTGGCATCAGCCTTAGAGCACCTTACAGGTGAGCACGTTAATATGGCGGTTGTGCGTCCAGCATCATCTGGTTCTGGTTTCCCCTTTAATTCAGTTAACATTCCTATCGATGCCCTGGTCAGTCCAAAAGTGAAGGCTAAGATCTGGGCTAATGAGTTCATTGATTTTGATTCTCTCTTAAAACCACATGTTGGGGAAACACGATACCAGCTTTCTCTGGCACCGGGAGAACAGTCGGTTCCCACACTTTCTTTAGAGCCAGCAAATAAAACTAAACCTATAACCAGTATTGATGCGTGGACTTCAGCCTTCCAGATTTTCGTGGCAGTTTACACCAGTAAATTTCCCCAGGAAGCACCAGCTTTAATGAAATATGGGGAGGTAGTGCGCGATTTAGCTATGCGGGGGGCCGATTGGAAATTTTATGATGTTCAATTTCGGTCGCTACGACAGACAAAGGCACATGAAATGCCTTGGGGCTCGACCCAATTTGAATTGTGGATTCGCGCTCAGCGCTTTACACATAATGCTCCGGTAAGGCCACAGAGTGCCCAGCCTGCTAGTCGTACTCTGCAATCTAATCCATATGTTCCACTTGGCTTTTGTCGTGCTTTTCATAAGGGTTTTACGTGCGCGGGTTGTTCGTACAAGCACACCTGTTTCAAATGTGGGGCAACGCATTCTGCGAAGGGTTGTAGTTTTCGTTCCTCAAGCAAACCTGCTGTTACAAAGCCAGCACCTGGGGCACGCACTTCCAACCCCAGTAAAAATTGATCGCCTTTTACCGTTGTTACAAGGATATGCTGTTGATGTTGTTTCTATGTTATTTGAGGGTTTTACCTCTGGGTTTCCCCTTCACTTTGAGGGCTTTCGTACCTCTTTTTGTTCGCATAATTTGATTTCGGCTCATCAACACCATGATGTCGTCAGTGCTAAACTTCGGAAAGAAATTATGGCCGGTCGTATTGTAGGCCCCTTTTCTCAACCTCCCTTCATCAATTTTCGGGTTTCGCCTTTAGGGGTTGTCCCTAAAAAAGCTCACGGGGAATTTCGGCTTATTCATCACTTATCGTTTCCGCGAGGTGCTTCTGTGAATGACGGCATTTCATCTGAACATACTACAGTGTCGTACAGTCGTGTTGACGATGCTGTTGCTATGATTAAAAAATTAGGTCCAGGCTGTTTTTTAGCTAAAACTGACATAAAGAGTGCCTTTCGCATCATACCTATTCGTCCGGCTGATTATCCACTGTTAGGTATAATTTGGCAGGGGAAATACTACTACGACCGGGCTATGCCCATGGGCTGTGCCTCTTCCTGTCGCACGTTTGAAACTTTTAGCACTGCCCTTGAGTGGGTTGCAAAAACTCACTGCAATATTCCTCAACTCATCCATATCCTTGATGACTACCTCATGGCCAGTGCAACGAATCAAGAATGTCGCGCTGCTTTGGGGCGTTTTTTGTTTTTGTGTGACTATTTAGGGGTGCCAATTGCTCCAGAGAAAACGGTCGGCCCTTCCACAATTCTGACGTTCGCTGGCATTGAATTAGACACGAATACGATGGAGGCTCGCTTACCGGTCGATAAAATCTTGAAAACACGCGAACTTTTGTCCGGCTTTCTTGGCCGTCGAAAGGCAACGTTGCAGGAGCTACAATCTTTGATTGGCCTGCTTAATTTTGCGTGCTCAGTCGTATTACCTGGTAGGGCTTTTTTACGGCGCCTCATTGATTTAACCAAAGGCATTACTGTCCCTTATTATCGTATTCGGCTGACCAAGGCAGTTAGAGCTGATTTGAGCCTTTGGAAATCCTTTTTGGACGACTTCAATGGCCGTTCGTTTTTTCTTTCCGATGATTGGCTCCCTTCTGATAGTTTGAATTTATATACTGACGCCGCTGCCGGTTCGGGCTTTGGTGCAATATTTGGCAACTTTTGGTGTTATGGTCCTTGGTCGGAAGACTGGAAAAAACTTAACATTGTCGTTTTGGAGTTTTTTCCCATTGTCCTTAGTGTCCTTTTATGGGGTAGCCTCATGCGAAACAAGCGTATAGTATTTTATACCGATAACGCTGCGCTAGTCGAAATCATCAATAAGACGACATCTAGGGATCCTACTGTGATGGTCTTTGTCCGTCAGCTGGTGCTAGCCTCCCTGAAATTTAATATTTTATTTCGTGCCAAGCATGTTCCTGGTGTCCGGAATACTTTGGCTGATGCTTTGTCGCGTTTACAGGTTTCCAAATTCCGAGCGCTGGCGCCGGTCGGCGTACAGAGTTATCCATCGGTGATTCCCAACCAGCTCCTTCCGCAAAATTGGCAGATATAACCTCTTATCTTGTACAAGCAAGTTTGCAGCCTTCGTCCGTCCCCACCTACCGCAGGGCTTGGCGGTTATATGAGCGTTTTTCCCACGAATCACTTCGTGGGGCCGTTGTTTCGCTTCCGTTAACCCCTACCGATTTAAGTTTATTTATTGCTTACATGTTTAAGTATC